AATATTCAGCCATAAAAAAGAAAGAAACCCCATCATTTATGACAACATGGACAGATACCTAGGCCATTATGTTAAGTGAAATAAGTCAAGCGGAAATAAGCCAATGAGGAAAAGCTGAAGACTTTCTCATTAGAACAAGACAAGGATGCCCCCTCTCACTACTTTTATTCAACATAATAGTGCACAGAAAGTCAAATGCTGCATGATCTCACTCATATGTGCAATCTAAAAAAGTTGATCTCATAGAAGTTCAGAGTGAAATGGTAGTTACCAGAAGCTAGGGAGAAGGTGGAGAGAAGGATGAGGAAAGATTGATCAATGGGAACAAAAGTTACAATTAAACTAAGAAAGTTCAGGTGTACTAGTGCACAGTAGAGTAACTATAGATTAACAATTATGTACTGTATATCTTAAAAGGCTAGGAGGGCTACAGTTGTAGCTTACTGGTAGAGCACTTGCCTGACATGCACAAAGCCCTTGGTTTGATCCCCAGAACTGCATACATAGATAATAGATAGATAGATGTAAATAAAACTACTCTGAGCACAATATTACAATAATAAATAAAATTAGAAGGATTTTGAATATTTTCACCATAAGGAAATGATAAATGTTTGAAGAGATATGTTAATCTGATATAAACATTATACAGTGTATACAAAATATATGGCATCCCATCAATGTAATTTTTTGGGGGGTACCAGGGATTGAACTCAAGGGTATTTGACCACAGAGCCACATCCCCAGCCCTATTTTGTATTTTGTTTAGAGACAGAGTCTTACTGAGCTGCTTAGCACCTCACTTTTGCTTAGGCTGCCTTTGAACTCACAATCCTCCTGCCTCAGCCTCCAGAGTTGCTGGGATTACAGGCATGTACCACCAAACCCAGCCATTTCTTTACTATTATCATTTTAATTTTTTTAGTTATAGATGGACACAATACCTTTATTTTATTTATATGTGGTGCTGAGGATCGAACCCAGTGCCTTACACATGCTGGGCAAGCACTCTACCACTAAGCTACAACCCCAGCCCCCCAGTCACTTTTATATCATCAAAAGATGTGGGAAAAATACTCGGAGAGATTTAAAGTATACAAAATAACTAGGGCTAGACTTCATGTTCTTCCTGTTTCCTCCAATATCAGTCTAGTGAAAACACAAAAGCATCATACTAAGTGGTAGTTTACAAAATTGTTTTTTATATACATTTTATGAGAATATGACTGTTGATCAAATTATGTCTATAAAAAGCTTATAATATGGATGTCAGTCATGACCATCATCACATTTTTCTTCCATAAAGTTTAAAAAAAAAACAGATGTGGAAGCTAACCTACAATAAGAGGGAGGGATTAAAAAAAGAATAGAAGTTTAGTGGAGTAGATGAAGGGGAATGAAGGGAAGGGGGAAAGGATGGGAAAAGGAAAGACAGTTGAATGAATCTGATATAACTTTCCTATGTACATATGTGAATATACCAAAGTGAATCTCACCATCATGTAATAATTTTTAAAAACTATGAATAAATGGCAGGAAGATCAGTAGAGAGAAGGGAACAGGGGTTTGGTGGAAGGATGGGAAAGGAAAGGCACTGGGAACTAGATTAGAACAATATATATTTCATGCTTTTATAATTATGTCAAAATGGATTCTACTGTAATGTATAACTAAAAAGAACCCCAAAAAAGTGTACCCATGTCATATATGAAAATAACCTACATGTAATGCCACTCTAGTCTCTCCCTATTTTAATTTTTTAATTGTTTTTTTTTTAGTTGTTGATGGGACTTTATTTATTTGTATATGGTGCTGAGAATCGAACCCAGTACCTCATGCATGCTAGGCAAGCACTCTACAACTGAGCCACAACCCCAGCCCCAAGTCTCTCCCTATTCTTATGATCAATTCTTAGAGAACATTTATTATGATTCCTAATGCAACCTCATTCTGGGCATAAACTTTATTTTTAACTCCAGTCTTAAATCTCCAGAAGCCATCATATCACCAGCATTTTTTTTAACCTTTCCACTGTTACCTCCTTAGCATCCCACTGTTTTCATAAGTTGATGCCACTTTGTGAGTGTCCTATTCCCCAATGCTGTTAAATCCTGGAATAGAGCTTAGTTATTATGCATTTTATATAAGGGTGATCATTTACATGAAATCTGTGGTAAAACCTATGGTGAACTAGGTAACTTCTTCTGTATATTTCAAAGAATCAAATTTATTTAAAAAATGTGATTTAGAATTAAAATTCCAGGAATGTTCCAATTATTTAAAACAGTCTAAATTGAGACAAGTGTACATTTTATAATTGCATAAGATCACTCTGTCAGGCAATGTTCTTTATACGAAGTGTGAGCCATCTTTGAACTTTAAAAAGTCTTTTACATAAACAAGTTATTTGCACAAATACTTTGATAGAGATATATAGGCTGTAAGTACTATAATCTCAATGATGAAACATGTATTTATCTCCTTAGATGACAAATGTAATTTTCACAATCATTAAAACTATAGTTAAAATAATCATGGGAGTATCTTCAAATAACTAGAATTAACCCTTTACTCAGAAAGAGTTAATAGTGGTGAACTGATTGGATATTTTTTACCCCACAAGTGTCTGATATTCAAAGTGATAATGCCAGAAAAACACACTTTTCATATAAATTCATTTAACTAACAATTATCAAATAACTATTTTATGTTGGAATCTTTGCTGGACCTACATTTTCAAGTGAAAGATAGGATTCTTAGATGTAATTACTGTATTGTTATATTATTCTCTTGATACTTTTATATTATTCTCTTGATACTTGATGCAGCATGGCAGTACAAATCTTAGTATAGTATTCAGGATACAATAAGCACTAAATATATATTTATTTGACAAATATCAAAATACCAAAATTCACAAGACTTGTAATTTTAGCTGATTCTACTCTTGCCCACCCCTTTCCCCACCTTCTACTTAGGAGTGGTCAGAAATCAGTAAGTACCAAAGCACCAGGCACGGGGTGCACAACTGTAATTCTAGAAGCTTGGGCAGCTGAAACAGGGGGTTCACAAGTTCAAAGCCAGCCTCAACAACTTAGCAAGGCCCTAATAAAATACAGAAAAATGGCCCAGTGGTTAAATGTCCCTGGGTTCAATCCCTGATGCAAAAAAAAAAAAAGTACCAAAGCAAAATCAACAAATTCAACACAAATTTTCATACTCCTGATGAAGAGACAAAGGAGAAATAGAGGGGAATTAATGCTCTTACAATATATTAAGAAGGGAATTCATCTTTATTTTTATATCAACTGGCAACATGTAAGAATAAAAAAAACAATACATGTTAAAGGAGTAAATAAATTAAAATGTTGGCTTTCAAAGTCAGAAAAGGTTTAAACTGCCAAAATATGCTAGATTAAATATTAGCAGACCTGTATTATAATTTCCTAAATTTACATTCTTTTTTTGTTTACATTACCTAAGCCAGAAAGAACTTTCTTGATATTTATTATGCTTGTGGGTTTCTACTCCGAAGTTGTAACAGAGAACATGAAGATATCCTGTCTGTAGTAAAAAAAAAAAAATAATAATAATAACATGTCAGATTCATAATTTCCTTAAAGTTAAAAATAAGTATCAACAGCTGCTCAATGTCTTTAAAACACGTCCACAATGCATTCTGTACATCAAAATAAACTTCCTTATCAAAACCTGTCAATTTATATAAAGAAAACTACAAAACATTCAAGTTAAAAATTACAATAGATTAGTAGTAGAATGTGAAACATACTTTGTAACTTCAATGGAGAAATCCAATCACTGCACAGCAAAACAACAGGCTAAAACATTGATTTGGGTTGCCAGATCTAGGAAAAGGCGTTAAGTAGGAAGTAGACTCAAAGACAAAAGTTAGGACTGGGGATGTGGCTCAAGCCGTAGCGCGCTTGCCTGGCATGCATGCGGCCCAGGGTCGATCCTCAGCACCACATACAAACAAAGATGTTGTGTCCGCCGAAAACTAAAAAATAAATATTAAAATTCTCTCTCTCTCTTAAAAAAAAGACAAAAATTACTATTGAGGAGGGAAAAGGAATGATTCTTTTTTTCAAAATTAAGACAACTTTTTAAAATTCTAAATTCTAAAATATGTTCAAAGAACTATCCAGTCATAAGGTTTATTTAGAAATAACTGGTTTAATGGACTTTCTTGAACAACAACAAAAATTTCCTTTTTATAAATTACCATGAAGATAAAAGTAAAAACAAATATGTGAATAGTGAATGCCACAGGAAAGTACTCTTTTGTAGGCTAATCAGCATCTCAGTCCCTCCATTAATGCCACATTTTACAGAAATTTCACCCTTCAACATACTAGAAATGGAAGAAGAAAAATTGTTTAATTCTAATAAATTATCAAAATACCCCCTCACCTATCCAGAATTAAAGAAATCACATATACAGAATTTGATTATACTCATATAAAGGAGTCCTTTATAAGATTTACCTGAGGGGCTGGGGTTGTAGCTCAGCAGTAGAGCACTTGCCTACCATGTGTGAGGCCCTGGGTTCCATCCTCAGTGCCACATAAAATAAAATAAAGATATTGTGGCCATCTACAACTAAAAAATAAAATAAAGCGTTTAAAAAAAAAAAGATTTACCTGAGCAAGACTACAGAAGCTGATCCTCAATTGAGAATCTGAAGCAAGTTATTTATAAGTAATGTATAAAGACCGATCTTTCTTAAAAAAAAAAAAAAACCCTTTCCCTTCAACTTACAGTACATTCAAAAAGTAGAAATTCAATACGCATGCCTGAGCACATCAGACCTAATATATATATATATATGAATTTAAAATAAAGAATACTCTTGTTAATGTGTGCCTCGTATGAATCCATTGGTATTTAAATGCATTCTTTTTTTTTTTTCTGGATTCTAGATATTAATTTTAATTACTTTGAAACAACAAAATTTAATAACAAATGTTTAACAAGCACCCATTATAACTGCAAAACTATGAAGTTAGCATTATTTGTATCTGATCAGCTATACAAAAAACTCACTAATTTTTCTTTCGAAAAAAGGTAGTAGAAATCCCAAACAACAGGGGAGAAGCGACTTTGCTAAACTAGCACCATAATTCCAGTCAGCTGGAAGGAAGGGCGGGGGAAAAGGCAAGGCTGTTGGACACATAAAGGGTAGTTCTTAACTTATGGCCCCACTTTTGCTCTGAGGCAACACTGGATCTATCAAAGAAGAAAATTGCTGTGGCTGGAGATGAAAACAAAAGCTTTGGGATCAGATGGTACAGGAGGCCCCTCAGGGGCGGCAGAATCAGAGTATCCAGAACGTAGGGCTGGAGTGGGCATCAGGAACTAGGGGGTTTCTTCTTGGCTTCCAAATCCTTTTTAATCTCTTCAAGTTTTTTAGCCAAGTTTGGTATGTCATAGTTCTGAGCCAGATACATTCCAACCACGTTGCCAAAAGTAAATCCAAGCAGGAACTGGAGCATGCTGCCAGCCGAGAACACAAGGAGGGGAGGGACAGAAACCCGGCTACAGCTCCACTGGCCGGTCGGAGCCTGCGTGCTTAAATGCATTCTTAACACTTCAACAAAAACAGTTTAACTGGGGCCCGGGGTTGTGGCTCAGTGGTAAAGCAGTCACCTAGCTTGTGTGAGGTGCTGGGTTTGATCTTCAGCACCACATAAAAATAAATAAATAAAATAAAGGTATTGTGTCCAACTACAACTAAAAATAAATATTAAAAAAACAATTTAACTTATTATATGCCCCAGTTCGCATAGGTTCAAACAGGGCCGGCCAACTATGTAGCTATGCTGGAATAATGCAGCTCACACCCACTTGCAGAGGCCTACAACTAAATTTACACAGAGAAAATGGAAAATAAAATTTTTGATGAACATTTATGTGTACTGAGCCTTTATTCAACTTCCTCAGTATTTGTCTCTACTCTCACAATACCTTCAAGTGTACTCATATTAAATGCTACTTCCTAGGGGAGAAAAGAATACAAAATAATAATAAACTTATAACAATAAAACTATAAAAGACTAAAAGTGTTATGGTTTAGAATATGAGGTGTTTCCTGAAAGCTCATGTGAGAGACAATGTAAGAAAGAGGTAAATGTTTGGGTTATGATATCCTTAACCTAATCAGTGACCTAATCCTTCCTCTGATAGGAATTAACTAGATGATAACTATAGGCAGGTAGGGTGTGGAGGTAGATCATTGCAGAAATGCCTTTGGGGTATATATTCTGTCAGTGGTGAGGGTAGTCTCCCTCTCTGCCCTGTTCCTCGCTGCTTTCCTCCGCCACAGTCTTCTGCCATGGTTTGTGCCCAGAGCAATGGAGTTGGCCATCTATCTACTGAAACTATGAGCCTCCAAATAAACTTTTCCTCCTCTAATTGTTCTTGTCAGGTCTTTGGTGGCAGTGGCAAAAAAGCTAACTTAAAAAAAAAAATCTCTCAAAAGACATGTACCAATGTGTGTGTGTGTGTGTGTGTGTGTGTGTGGTGCCGGGGATTGAAACCAGGGCCTTGTGGATGTGAGGCAAGCATTCTACCAACTGAGCTATATCCCCAGCCCAGTACTAATTTTTTTAATACAATGACTAAAAAAATGCTTTTACTACTAATACTGCTCCATTCATTTATTCTTTCAGTAACAACTATTTACCAAGCATCTCCTATCTAGTAAGTATTAATCTAGGAATTATAGTTAGATCATGGAACAAAAAGGATAAAAATCTCTGTCCTTCTGAAACATTTTTAATGGGATATTGAAGTAAAAAGGTTAATAAAAACATTTGTTTAAAGAAATATGTTGTTGGGGCTGGGGATGTGGCTCAAGCTGTAGCGCGCTCGCCTGGCATGCGTGCGGCTCGGGTTCGATCCTCAGCACCACATACAAACAAAGATGTTGCGTCCTCCGAAAACTAAAAAATAAATATTAAAATTCTCTCTCTCTCTCTCTCTCTCTTAAAAAAAAAAGAAAGAAAGAAAGAAATATGTTGTCCATGCAGTAGGCCTTGGGTTCAATTCCCAGCACTGCAAAAATAAAGTAGAAGGAAGGATGGAAAGTCAGTCTAGCCTTCCATGGAATGCTAACATCTTACTTTGCCAGAAAATACAACAAAAGCATCACTAAGAAAGCAGATCTGTAAATCTATTGCATACTACTAGTCTTATACAAAGGGACGTATGAGAACTCCAGGATACATGATATATCCAGAAACTTGAGTCATTGCTACATCAACTGGCCTGGAAATGACAGCTTCAACTTATGACAGCTCCATTTTACTTTAAAATGCCAAGATGAGACTATATAGAGGAAAATGAACTAAATCTGTTATTGCTGATACAAATGAGTTTGATAACCAAAATTTCAGTTCAATACAAGGTTTTTTATTTTTAATTAACTAAATAGCTTCATTTTCTGAAACTTATTTTGTAAATTAGGTTTTTAAAATCCAGAAAAAGCAAACCTATTATTTTTCAGCCCCAAGTTTCCAGGCTATTTTCCCTTCTGATTTTGTTGTCTTTTAAACATTTATAGATAATGTATTTTTATATTTTATTCAATTATAACAGTGTAGAAATAATTAAGTGATAATTGCCTAGCTTTAAAACGTTTGCTTTTCAGCCCCTCCCTTACTCATTTGTCTCTAATCTTCAGATATCTCAGTAATAATCCACATAGCTCCTTAGTTTTCTCATGGTGCTCTAAAATACAAACATACATATCCAATTTCCAAATATTTTTCTCTCTGCCTCTGATTAATAATAGAGCATTACCTTCTGCCTAAATACCAACACCTTACAATAAAATGATTCCTAATCTAGTTTTGGGATACAGGAAGGATGTCTCAGGAAAAAAAAGAGTTGGTTTATTTAATTCATTAATTCATTTTAAGTGAATAACACTCTATTAGCTTCTCTTCAACCTTTACTGGATTGTTTCCTCTCATTATAAGATTTCCTGCTCTAAATTGTCAGGTCCCTTGTCTAACCCTTAAACCCATCGAAAACATACACTCTAAATAATTGCATTGACCTTTAGAATTAAAAGCATGACTTTCATAATAGTATAGTTCTATCAACCACCTTCCAGATAAAATACAAACTCTTAATTCTCAATGTATAACCCTTCATTGGTAGTCCCATCCTGACAAAGGCATAATTCTGTTATACATCATCCTGAATCCTCTAATTCAGCCCTTTTTTCTCTCTACATCTGGTTTTCCCTTTACTACCTCTAACACTGCCCAAGATAGTTTTCTTTACCTTAATATTATTCAAGTGTCACTTTTCATGTTCTTTGATATACAATTCAATATTCATGTACTTTACAAAGATATTAAAGAGAGATCTCAATCCTCTAGTAATTTTATACTCTGAAAGAGATAGCTGGGCGTGGTGATGCACACCTATAATTCCAGTGGCAGGGGAGGCTGAGGCAGGAGGATAGTGAGTTCAAAGCCAGCCTCAGAAAATGCAAGTTGCTAAGCTACTCAGTGAGACCCTGTCTCTAAATAATATACAAAATAGGGCCGGGGATGTAGCTCAGGGGTCGAGTGCCCCTGAGTTCAATCCCCAGTACCAAAAAATGAGAGAGAGAGAGAGAGAGAGAGAGAGAGAGAAACAGGGCCAATGAAAAAGGGACAGTAAAAACAAGTAAATGTGGGACTGGAGTTGTGGCTTTGTGGCTCAGTGGTAGAGCACTTGCCTAGCGCATGCGAGGCCCTGGGTTCGATCCTCAGCATCACATAAAAATAAAATAAAGGTATTGTGTCCAACTAAAACAAAATATTTTTAAAAAACAAGTAAATGTAAATAATCCAAGAGATTCTATAAAATTATTAAAATTATTAAGTTATTAAAATTAATGAGAGAGCTCAGAGAGATTTTTAGGTATTAAATAAACCTTTTAAAGAGATTGCATTCTTTTTTTAAGGCATGTATAGAGGTTTATTTAGGAAGGTAGATATACATTCAAGGAAGAATGTGGGCTCTCTCAAGAGTAAGAAGCAGCCCTGACTTGGGATGGGGGTCCCATATTTATAGAAGGGCTGTATCAGGGACTGGACTGGAGATGAATTCAGAGTGGAGCTGTACAATTTTAAGCCAGTTTTCCTGCACTTGAGTATTTCCCTCATTTCACAAGGGCATGGGCCAAGGGTGTGGGTCAAGGTTTGCAACTATGTTTTCCACATCTTAATGGCTTGAGAGTGTTTCCCTTAAGATTCTATATTTCTCTCTCCTTATCCTAAATCCCTATCTCATAGGGGGCAGACTTTGATCCCTTAATCTTTAAAGGTTGGTGAGAGATGAAGATCCGTATTCTATGACTATTACAGGCTGGCAAAGGGAGATGACCCATAGATGATCCCTAGCCAGGGATCAAAAGTCTCATCCTGACTATTCTAAAGGAGAGAAACACTGGTCTCAGTTGCAGGATGGGTTGATATTCCTGTGTTGCCGTTCTCTCAACATGGAATTGTTGTAATCTGGAAGAGACAAATTTTATTGGATTAAAAAGACCCAGACTGAGCAATAGGAGCAGAAGTATAGTTACCAAAGGTCCTAACGGTGAAAACAGTGAAGTAAGGTTATGTAAGTAAGTGTTAATAGAGACTGCATTCTTTATATACCAGTGATAGTTTAAAAACATAATCTTTAAAATGTTTTACAATGGCAATTGGATATGAAGTATTTTTATAAAGAAAAATTATAAAATATACTGAAGGACATTTACAAACTTTATATAAATTCATATCTATTAATGGATATGAAGTTTTAATATTATAAAGATAGTGAATCTGAATCTCCACATCATATACAACAATAAAAATGGGATCCTAATTAGAATAAGATATATTCCATGTATGCATAATGTCAACATATACTCTGTCATGTATATCTAAAAAGAATAAATAAAACAGTGAATCTAAAAATTCACTGCCATTTGAATCAATATCCAATTGAGTCAATTGAGTTTTTTTAATATATTTATTAGTTGTTGATGGACCTTTATTTATATGTGGTGCTGAGAATTGAACCCAGTGCCTCACACGTGCTAGGCAAACACTCTACCACTGAGCTATAACCCCAGCCTCCCAACTGAGTTTTTCACCATTCTTGACAAGCTATATCTAAAATGAGTATGGAAAAGGAAAGGGCCAAGAACTGCTAACATAATGCTGAAGAACAACAAAATGGAAGGACTTACCCTCTTAAGAATGCATTGAGGGGCTGTGATTGTAGCTCAGTGGTAGAGCCCTTGCCTAGCATGTGTATGGCCCTTAGTTCAATACTCAGCACCACATAAAATACATAAATAAAATAAAGGTATAAAAATATAATAACATTATAAAAATAGAATGCATTGAACTATATAATCTTCCCTTAAAAATGCATGTTTACCTAGAAACAATGAATGTGACCTTATTTGTAAATAAGGTAACACAATCAAGAAAAGGTCACTGAATTAGGGTGGGACCTAAATCC